AATAAAAAAAAAAGGTATTTAATCACTCTTTTGGACTTACTATCATGACTATTGGTTTAAGTTGTAGTATCTACGGATAGTGGTAGTGGCTCATTTAGGCCATCTAAAAAAATTTATAAATTATAAATGATTTATATAAAGAAACCAGTTATAGTTTTTTATTATTTTTATTATTAAATGAACTCTGCATAATTTAAGCTATAAATTCATAAGGAATTGGAGCCAACCAAATAGGTTCCTCTTTTCCACTGACTATATGTGCTGGTTTTGGTTGAGCAGGTTGTCTCTTAAGAGAAACCCTTATTTTCTTTTCTTTAGCTTCCTTGCGGAGTTTTTCGTTTTGCTTGACACGTTGTAAAAAGTCTTCTCGACACTTAGAGTGGTTAATATGTTCAATGCGAATATTGATCCTCTTTGGAATAATCCTTCCTCTTACCCGCTTGTTTACTATAACTCCCAATGCATGTGCAGTTACGTTGAAAACTCTTCCAGTTTTACCATGGTAAACTTTGTGTGGCATTCCCTTTTGTACTGCACCATTCCCTTTGATATCAACAATATCTCCCACTTTGTATATTTTCATATAAGTGGATAACGGAATTGTGCCATGCGTTCTGAATTTGCGGGCAAACAAATCCCTCGTACCACGACGATAACCTTTTGAATTCGTCATTTTGTTAAACTAAAAATATAAGAAATAGATAATGTAGAAGTTTTTCAAGTTTAATTTTTAGGTTAAACTATGGATGATAAGAAAAACATGGTAAAAAATATAAAATATTTAACGAAACACATATCTAATTCATTTTGTACGGATTAAGCATATGTTACATTAAGTTAAAAGTGAAATTTCAATAAAAATAACTTACTTTCCCAACACTCTACACGTGCAAAGCAAAAGAAATTCTATGGAATCGGAATACTAAAAAGGCGAACATCATTCATTGATATCTATCAAAATTAACATCGTTACTGTTAATGCCAACATAGTCTCTAAAAATATAACTGGTATATACAGGGTGTGAATAAAAACACCTGAATTCATCAAACCAATTTAATATTAATTAAAATATTCTCCAATTTTACATTGAAATAATAATAAATGAAAATCTTAATAGCAGTTTTAGAATAGTCCAACAATAAATTTTATGACATAAAGTAAAGGTTTAATAACGGTGTTATTGCGGCGTTTCAGTAAAACTTATATTTTTTATAAAAAAACAAAAATTAATAATAAAGATTTAAAATAATTATTATTAGCTTTCTATAAGTATACAATCATCATCCACATCTTCATCTATGCATATCCAAACGTCAGATTCATCTTTTCCTCGGGGAACTAGTGCAGCTGCTTTTTCTCCAACAACTTCTATTACAGAATTATCATTTTCTACAATCTCGATATTGGAGAGTTGTTTTGGTTTTTTCCATTTATTTTCTTGTGTTGTCCAGGTGTTCAAGGTACCTATTAATGCATTCACAGTATCCTCTTGTATTTCAGAAAATAATGTAGAAGAAAAGTCTGCAACTTCATCTTGATCCCTAAAAACAGTAGTGTAATAAAAATTGATCTTCTTTAAAGAAAAATAAAATACCGTTTCACGGTATCTTCTTCAAGCGATTTTTTGATGAAATCTATAACTTCAGCTGCTCTTTTGGCAGCCTTTTCTGTATACTGAATAACACAGTGCTGGTTAAGTGTTGTACTTCCTCCTAAATGTAATGTACAAAGTTCCTTATATGCATTGAGGCCAATATTTAAATGTGCTTCAGCAACATTTTCTTCTAAAAGTGTTGGATCAGCAAGTAGCACTTCTCTAATAAAATAAAAATTTGAATTCAAAGAGCCTACTGTAAAGAAAGTAAAAGAACACTTACCCTTCATTAAAAACTGCATAGGAAACACAAATGGGATGATGATGTAAAACTGTTGGCACAGGATCACGCTGTGAATAGGTGTGGACAATTATTTCTTCTCCATCACTTGTCACATCTGGTCTTCGGTAATGAGCAAGTGCTGCTATTGCTGCAATTGAGGCACAATCCACAATATTGCCTTCATGACTTAAAATATTAACATCAACTCTAAATAACCAAACCTGTATTTGATATATATAAATATTTTAAAATAAAATAAAATATTTTTTTAACAAACACCAACCTTTTCATTTACTTTTATACAAAGTGATTCAAGGTCTACAGCCTTAGAATCTTTTATACACTTCTCCAATATCCTATTTATTTGAACAGACATATCTGTTTGTCTTCCAGGTTCAAAATGTGCTGCAGCCATTGGATTTAACTCTACATTGATATTAATTATTCCCTCACTTGGTCTGGCAGAATTTGGCTGCTGAATTTCACTAGATACTTGTGCTAATGCACTAAAAATACAACTATCATTCAATAAAAGTAAAAAAAATATTATAAACTAACCATGTTTGTCCTAACGCTACATAACAACAGCCCCAGTCTTTCCCAAACTGAATTTTTATATTTCGAAACTCATCAAAAGCTCGTCCGTCTAATCTCTAAAAGTAAGTGTATCATTAAAATGCACCTTCACTGTTAAGATTACTTACTGTGTAGTTTGAAAGAGCTTTTAATAAAAAATTCTTTTCACAAGTAGCTACAGGCGATTCTCTAACTTTGGCCATGTCGTGTATTTCCCGAAATCATTGTTTTATAACTGGTTATTACATAATTAAGTTCTTACGTGTATTTCAAACTACACTTTTATCTTATTACCCCAGAAATACCAATTATATTAAAAATTAAAACATGATAAAAACGTATATTAAAAGTTCATTTATTAAGGTTAGTGTCTATATCAGATAAGATGTCTATCTATGATGCCTATAAACACCACAGATGGAAGATAAATATACAAATCCATAGAATAACAGTAATGGTAAGATTCTTATTTAAGGCCTGTGCTATGGTCAAGATCATAAATAATACTATGCTATATTAATATTCTAATAATGTGGTAATAAATAATAACAAAACTACATAAAAGCTATACTAACAATAANGTAATATACCCACCACCAAAAAACAATTGTATGAATGGCGGGTTCGAGCTTCTAATTGGTGGTTGATGCGTTGTTGTTTGCCGTTCGAGGTTTTGGTTAGTTTACGTCAGTTTTATGTTTTAATAATTATTTGTTACAGAAAAGCGGCATTTTCACGTATTTAAACAGTACTGACGTTAAATAATGGTTACTGTAACCTTAGACAAATTATATGATAATTACGATGTGCTTTCAGATGCTAAAGATAAAATTTCAGAGGTTAGTTTGGGAATCACACGAAGTTTTATATTTAAATTCTATCATAAAATTTTCATTTTAGTATTCAAAAGAATACCAAGAGGCTATAGAAGGCACCAAGGGGGATGAAAAAACAAAGAAATTGTCAGCACAGATTATTTCGAAGTTTTTTAAATTTTTTCCTGATCTTCAAAGTAAAGCTATTGAGGCAATATTTGATATATGTGAAGATGACGATTCATCAGTATATGAATAGACCTAATGTGTTGATAAAATTGTACTCAAATTCTGATATTTTAGATTCGAATTGCTGCTATGAAAGCATTGCCCTCATTTTGTAAAGACTCCAAAGAGCATGTGGTTAAAGTGGCTGACATACTAGCACAGTTGTTACAATTGGATGATCCACAGGAATATAATGTGGCTGCTAATTCTCTTTTACAGATATTTAAGGATAATCCCATCCTAGTAATTAAGTGCATTTTTAAACAAATTAATGGCAATGACAATATTGTAAGAGACAAGTGTATCAAGTTTTTAGTTTCAAAAATTAAAATTTCTGATAACAATATCATCACACCAGAAGTAGAAGATATCATTATTCAAGAAACTAAAAAAGTTTTGCAGGTATGTGTAAATATATTGTAAGAATTGAAGAATAGAAACTGTAATACACATATTGTTATACAGGATTCAACAGCTGAAGAGTATATTAATTTGATGCCATTTTTAATATCGACACGTTTAAGTAGTACTCAAGCTGGTCAGCAAGAACTTGTAGATATTGCAATAGAACAAGCAGAATTGGACGAAGAATTAGATCCTTTAGATAAAGAAAGTAATAATGTGGACCGTCTAGCAACATGCATAAAATTTGTCTTGCCATTTTTCTCAGTAAGCATTTTTATATTACCAGTTGAAAAATAAGAATCTTATTATATATATATATATATAAGTGC